ATCCAAGTGGCAGGGTGTTAAGGTTCTCAATTTCCTTGTTAGTTTTCTGCCTCAGTGATCTGTCTAAGGCTGTTAATGTCACTGACTATAACTGTACAACTGTCAATGTCCCCTCTTAGTTCAATTAGCAATTGTTTTATAAATCTGAGTATTCCTATGCTGGTTGATTTGTATGGTCCGGAAACTGTGTGCTTACCTATGCTTTTGTAATGGGTGGAACCATTCTTTTGTTTCTGTGCATAGAACGGTTTCAAATACTCCTGAACTGGATGTCTGGGAAGGATTTTATTTCTCCTTCATTAATGAAACTTAGCTTGGTGGGGCAGGTAATTCTTGACTGGAATTGCTTTTCTTTAAGAATGTTAAAGATGTTAACATTCTTTTGCTAAGCCCTGGCCCAGTCATATGGCTCTTTGATCTCTGGTCAGGCTATGTTTTCCTAAGCTTTGGCCCCCTCCCCTACCTTGGGGAGGTTAATCTTTCTCTCTCTCTCTCTCTCCTCTCTCTCTCTCTCTCTCTAACTTACTTTCTAAATAAACTATATTTTCCAAAAGAAAAACAAAAGAATATTTAGGATGGGGTTCCAGTCCCTTTTGGTTTGCAGTTTCTGCTGAGAGGTCTGCTGCAATTATGATGGACCTTCTTGGTAGGTAGGCACTAGGACTTCCTGGGAACTGAGGTTTCATGTGAATCCTCCCAATGCCTTTGTCCCAATTCAGGACAGGTCTCTGTGACTGGTCTGTGTGGGAAGGGTGTAAGTGGGGGACTATCTTTCTCTTGTTTGGGACTGTGGAGGCTTGTGTGAGTTATGTAGAAAACCTATTGCTTTCAATCACCCCTTCTTTCTCCAGAGTGCTCTCCCAGTCTTGTGATGGGGCCTCTTCTGGGGTATCTGGGGGCTTGGAACTGTTTGTCCTCTGCATCCCCAGGTGACCTTCTAATAAACTTCAGCTTAGGTTTTAAGGACAACCCTCAAAGCCCTAGGGTCCACTCTTTCATATAGTTTTCTCTGCTGAGAGCTTCAATCATGCAATGTTTTCAGTTGGCTATCTTGACTTTACCCCACAAATTAAATTTTAACGCCATAATTTTTTAAAAAATAAAACAAGTTATCTGTGTGTAGAGTTGGTGACACAGTGAATTATTTCAAGCAACTTAAAGCAGAGTAATTTGACAGTACATTCCAAATGATTTACATCCTAAGGACAAAAAGAGCTGCAGAGAAAGCAAGATTTTGAACAGCTACAGCTATCATGTTTCTAGTTATTGTTTATGTTTCAAGCTATTGTTTTTCTGAAATTAGAATACAATATAATGTACAACAATATAATGTAAAATGACACAAATAACTGGCATGTTATACAGGTTATATTATATAACAGGATAAAGCAAATAAGTAATTATGTTAATGTCATCAGGAACCATGATTTTTTTTTGAGAAAATAGATATAAAATAAAATAAAATTCGCAACAACCATGTAATATTAATTTGAATTGAGAATATTAGTACAAAGAAATGGTGTGTTTTCTCTTAAATTTTTTTCTTAACTCTATCCATTAAAATTGTCTAAAATCAGGAACCAACCCAGCAACAGTGGGCATCTCTAGAACCCAGATTATTGTTTCTTACTACTATTTTCCACCAAAAAGTAGAGATCCTTGGAGAAATGGTAGATTCTAGATCTGGAACAAGAAATGTGTAAGATGGGCCTGGAACATCTTGTTGTACTTGTAAGCTATCCAGAATTACTGGAGTCATATGGAAGGAAATCAGGAGCTTGGAGAGGTTTTAACCAACTTGAGATGAAACAATTAGAGCATCAATAATAACAGCAAATGCAATTGACTGAAACATATAAAGAATATTTAAATTTGTGAGTTAATAATAATTTTAAATAAACAAAATTCATTTTTGGAAACCTACTGCTTTATTTGAAAACTGGTAAATATAGGGAACAAATAATCAACTGTTTTGATTTTCTGTATAAATTGTATCTCAGTGTAACCAAATATTTGATAAAGGAGAGTATGTCTCTGAAGACACATTCTAGCAATAAAGAAACAAAATGACTGAATGGCAATTCCAAATAAAATACTAGACCTAGGTAGTGATCACCAGTGGTTGCTGACATTAAAAACAAACAAACAA